TAGGTTGACCAGACAGCAAGTGTGAAAAATCAGGACGGGGGTGGAGAGTAATAGGAGCCTCTGTAAGAAAAAGACCCCCAAATCGGGACTGTCCCTATAAAATTGGGACATCTGGTCACCTTAGCACACCCCCAGGGAGTGGTGGGGACCCACACATGTGAAGCGAAGCAGTTCCCGGCCAATGGGAGCTGCGGAGTTGGCACGGGGGGGTGGGGGGCCATCGGCAGCGCAAGAAGTCGCCTGCCCCTCTACCCCCCCTCCCCCTGCCACAGGCCACAGAGACATGCCAGCTGCTTCCCAGAGTGGTATGGGGCCAGGGCAGGCAGGGAGTCTCCCTTAGACCCGGTATGCTGCTGACTGGGAGCCACCTTGCACCTCTTCCTGCACCCCAACCCCCTAATCCAGGCTCAACCTAGAGCCTCCTCCCACACTCCAAACCCCTCAGCCCCAGCCCAGAACTCCAGCCCTCTGCCCCAGCCCGGTGAAAGTGAGTGAGGGCACGGGAGAGCGAGCGACGGAGGGAGGGGGAATGGAGTGAGCAGCATGGGGCCTCGGGGAAGGGGCTGGGTAGATCCTGGGTTGATCTTAAATTCAAAAAGCGATCTTGTGCGTAAAAAGGTTGGAGACCACTGATCTAATGAAAGCATGTGTTTCAGTGTTTTGCTGAACAATGGCCATGCTTTTCCTTTGTCTGTGTCACTCCTTTTATTCCTGACACGGGAATCACTCACTTCTTGGTTCCCAAACATGCGGATGTCTCAGAGACCAGGGGGCTAAGGACTATACAGAGGTCCAAGATTGTAACATCAGTAACCAGTAAAACAATCCAATGAATTGGAGGAGACAAACCTGGTGGCCAACTATGCATGGTTGTGGAATCATTTTCTCCTTTTGAGTTAAATCAGGTGCAAAGCATTTAAACAAATACAGTCATATCCGTGAAGCTGGGTTATAGTTTGTAGGGACTGGATTCTCCCTACGCCGCTATCCAAAGAAGGGAAAAAAAGTTGAACACCCAACATTGAATGAAACAACGAAGCAATGAAACAGCCCTGCAGCCCAGTGGCGCTGACTTTGTGGTTTCCCCGGGGGTGCTTGACCCCCGCTCTGCCCAATGCCCCGCCCTCACTTCATCCGTTCCCCCAAGGCTCTGCCCTGTTCCACCCACTGCCCCGAGTGCACCTCACCCTCGTTCCACCTCCCCCATCCCGCCCCAGCGTGTCCTGCATGCCACTGATCACTGGTGCATGAGAGGCGCTGGGTGAGAGGAGGAGGAGCTGATCGACGGGGCTGCTGGTGGGTATTGAGCACCCACGGATTCGGTGCCTATGCTGCAGCCCGAGCCCCACGAGCCCGAGTCAGCTGGCACAGGTCAGCTGCAGGTTTTTCTTTGCTGTGTGGACATAACCTCAGGGTCCTGTCTTATCTGCTCTTTTAGGGACATACCTGGAAGGTCACAGACTCTCTCGTGTCAGGCACATAGACACACCAGTCAGATTACAGCAAGCAGGGAACTGTAGGAAAATCTTCCCCCAAACAATACTGGGAACTAGAAAAGTTCCTGGAGGACAGTCCATCAATGGCTCTTAGCCAGGATGGGCAGGGATGGTGCCCCTCACCTCTGTTTGCCAGAAGCTGGGAATGGGCGACAGGGGATGGATCACTTGATGATCCCCTGTTCTATTCATTTCCTCTGGGGCACCTGGCACTGGCCACTGTTGGAAGACAGGATACTGGGCTAGATGGACCTTTGGTCTGACCCAATCTGGCCATTCTTATGTTTTTATGGGAAAGTTTCCCTCAAGCACTATTTAAGGTTGCAATAAAATACCCCCTCCGTCCCCCACCCCCATTGAGCACCCAGGGTCTCATCTGGAGCTGGCCTGAATTGGCAGAGCTGCCTTGACACTCATGGAATTAAACCAGCTGAAGATCTGGCTCCAGGTGACTCACTCTGTGGGCCCTGCCCTGCCCGTTCCCTTCCTCGTTACAGGAGCAGGTAGAAACCGAGAGGCTGAAGATTCTGTCTGAATTTGAGCAGCTGCGGCAGTTCCTGGAGGAACAAGAGCGACTCCTGCTGGCCCGGCTGGAAGAGCTGGACAAGGAGATTGAGAAGAGAAGGGATGAGAACATTGCCAAACTCTTGGAGGAGCTTTCCTGTCTAAATGACATGATCAGTGAGCTAGAGGGGAAGTGCCAGCAGCCAGGGAGTGAATTCTTGCAGGTGAGATACTGGATCCTTGATACGCAAGAGCCATGGAGTCCAGGAGTCAAATGCCAGAGTAGAACTCACAGGTTATGCAGGTCAAATATAATTTTTTTCTGTTTCTAACCATTAGTATTGTTATTTGTTTCATTATTCAGAGAACCTGGGTGTCATAAATATAAAGGGAAGGGTAAACATCTTTAAAATCCCTCCCAGAGGAAAAACCCTTTCACCTGAAAAGGGTTAAGAAGCTAGGATAACCTCGCTGGCACCTGACCAAAATGACCAATGAGGAGACAAGATACTTTCAAAGCTGGAGGGGCCAGAAACAAAGGCTCTCTCTGTCTGTGTGTTGGTTTTGCCAGAAACAGAAAAGGAATGGAGTCTTAGAATTTAGTAAGGAATCTAGCTAGATATGCGTTAGAGTCTGTTTTGTTTAAATGGCTGAGAAAATAAGCTGTGCTGAATGGAATGTATATTCCTGTTTTTGTGTCTTTTTGGCACTTAAGGTTTTGCCTATAGGGATTCTCTATGTTTTGAATCTGATTACCCTGTAAGGTATTTACCATCCTGATTTTACAGAGGTGATTCTTTTACTTTTTCTTCTATTAAAATTCTTCTTTTACGAACCTGATTGCTTTTTCATTGTTCTTAAGATCCAAGCGTTTGGGTCTGTGTTCACTGATGCAAATTGGTGAGGGTTTTTATCAAGCCTTCCCCAGGAAAGAGGGTGTAGGGTTTGGGGAGGATTTTGGGTGTAAAGACGTTTCCAAGCGGGCGCTTTCCCTGTTATGTATTTGTTAGACGCTTGGTGGTGGCAGCAATAAAGTCCAAGGGCAAAAGGTAAAATAGTTTGTACCTTGGGGAAGTTTTAACCTAAGCTGGTAAAAATAAGCTTAGGGGGTTTTTCATGCAGGTCCCCACATCTGTACCCAAGAGTTCAGAGTGGGGAAGGAACCTTGACTCATATATACCACTTATCCACATTTATCATGTGACTTCATATCAGAGTGGTTTAATAACACTGAGATAATGTTATAAAAATTAATTGGTTTTAATTTTGTTATATAATATTTCTATTTCTGTCTGTGACTTCACAGGTTAAACTAAATTTGTCTTTGGTGGCCTTTTCTGCTAATCATGATATAAAAGTGCAATTATAAATAGAGGAGGGAAACATTTTTTCTTAGATTTGTTGTAGTGTCCTTTTCACTGGCAATCTATAAATAATATTACAAAATGCTTTCATATATTTTCCAGATTTTTATTTTCAAGGAAAAAAAGCAAGTTTCTTTCCTAAATATATTTAGTTTTTAAATTTTTCTACATTTCCTCCTTTTTTCAAAGAAAGAAAGAAGCAGTTATGAGATTTTTACAATATGAGGAAAACAAAAATATTTGTAAAAAGAAAAGGAGTACTTGTGGCACCTTAGAGACTAAGATGCCACAAGTCCTCCTTTTCTTTTTGCGAATACAGACTAACACAGCTGCTACTCTGAAAAATATTTGGGTAACTTTTCAAACAAAATTTTTGCTTTTTTTTTCTTTCCCAAGCAGTTCTATATTTTCAAAATTGATGTACTAAAGAGAAAGTTCTATTGTGAAAAATAGCTAAAAAAGAGCTCTCTTTCCTGAAAAGATGTACCCTCCATGTGTATCAAAATTGGATTTTCAGATCCAAAATGAATTATGACTATTTACACTCCTGTAAGATCTCCTAACCAATGCAGCTCTAAGACAATAGCTAGAAGCTACTTCTGGCAGTAACATCCTTAAAAAACACTGTTAATGAATATCAAATCAATTATACCTGTATATAATGAATGAAGACAACAGGAATCTAAAATGTAGAAAACCAATGTTCAAATCCCTTCTTCCTCTCAGGCAGAGGGGGAAATTGAACTGGGGGTCTCCCATATTCTTGGTGAGTGCCCTATGCAGTGGGCTAAAGTTTATAAAAGAGGCCTTCTCCTCTCCCTGCCATTTGGTATGTGGTTGGGCTTGTTCTGAGAAAGCCTACCACCTGAGGTATGCCACATGTTGTGATAGGCATGTGTAGGGCCCATGGATCTGGAAATGTGTGTTGTGGGGGGTGTTGACTATCGTGGCAGTGAAGATATGTTGACAGGTTTTGCATCTGTTGTTATGGCAAGGGCTGGTGCCGCTTTGAGTTGGTGGCTCCTGGTCTGTGGGGAGCTTGCTTCTGATAATGAGGTTGGAGAGGTTGCAGGGGTGTGTTTGAAGGCCAGAGGAAGGGGTTCGGGAAAGATATCATTCAGGATGTGGTCCCCAGTGAGTATGGGTTGTAATTGTTTCATGATAACTTAAATTCATAAATCTGCTACACAGCAAAAATCATGGCCTTAATTATTAAGTTGTAACCTGTAAGTTGTAATGCTGCAAGTTTCACTGCTGATAGGGGACCGGTGAAAGTAAAGCGCTGGTTTGTGTACTCACTCAATTCCTCAGGTGTCAGAGAGTGTTTACGCTACCAGCACTTCCATCCCCGATGAGAGCAGCGCTGTAGGGCAGCTATCCCACAGTGCATCTCTCTCAATAGTCTTGTGGGAAGGGGGAGTGTGTGTGAGCGGAAGGCATTCTGGGTCCTGGCTCAGTGCCCCATGCTGCCCTGCTTCATGTCTCAGGAGACCCATTACTTCCTTGTTTCTTCCGTGGCATTTTTTTTTTAAAAGCTCCTGTTGCCGGCACCCAGTGCCAGAGGCAAGCAACAGCCGGGGGTTGGGGGGGGAAGGGTTTGCTGCCCGGTGTGCGTCACCCAATAATCACAACGGGGTGGAGAAGCAGAAAAGTTTATTTGCACCTGCAAAGAAGGTACAGGGAGAATAGAATCTCAAATCCTGCACACAGAGCAGGAAGTTACACAGGCTTTTATACATCCTTTCTTCAGCATACTTATCCAATAGCAAGCTGCCCTAAGTATCCATATAGCCAGCCAATCCAGTTCCCAGCTAGTTCCCTTGTTCTCTGTACCATCTGTTAAACCATACATAAAGCTGCTTTATTCAGCATTGTTCTTCCATATCTGCCTTGTTTGGCCTTGTTTAGTTTCAGGCAGTCTGACTTTGCAACATATTGTTGCAGATTCTCAGCATAACTGCTGTGAGTGCCTCCAGGCGGGGGGGCAGGCCCAAGGATACTTGGGCCTAGTGCGCGGGGGCTTCATCGACACTCGTGGTCTTCCATCCCCTCGAGTTACCTAGTGGCCATGCCCAGTGTCCCCAACAACTCCCTCCTTTGAGAACACTCAACAGCCTTGGCTCTGAGTTTTCTCACTTGGGCTACTTATTTCTTTACAATAGGACTTTGCATAAGCACTTTGTGACAGCCTTGAAGAGAATGACTTATTAACTTTTGCAAAAGGGTCCTGACACATGATACTGCACAGCATAATACCATTAAGACAAGCAATACAGGAAAGAGAAGTTTCAATAACAGGCAAAATAAACCACCAAGCCAAGACGACAAACCCCAGCCTGAAAACAAGGTTTGCAACCAATCGCTCTCGGGGGCAGTATAGGCAACCTGTGCTCCGGCTCGGGCATGGGCCTCAGCCTGTACCACCTTTTCATAGATCTCATAACTGCTATCATTTACATATACACAACATCGGGGCCCGACGAGGGCACAAACCCCTCCTTGGGATGCCAAGAGATAGTCCAAAGCCAGCCTATTTTGGAGGGAAAACATCCTGAGCTGCTGTACCTCTTTATTTAATGTTTTTACTGCTGACCCTAAATCACTAACCGAGTCCTCTAACTCTAAGGCAACTTTCTCAAGTACCATTTGCAGCCTTACAGTATAGCGGCCTATGCATGCCATGGCTGGCCCGGTAAACAGTGGCGCTATTCCCAGTACAGAGCACCCTACAAGCTTCTCGGTTGTGAGGGGATTCTTTATATTGCCCTCCAATGCTGTAATCAGTCGCCGCAGGGTCTTTTCTCGTGGCTCAACAGAGGTATCTTGGGCATTTCTAATCTTTCCTTTGGGCAGTGTGGTAGTTATGGAAAGATGAGGAACTCCATGAGCTATATAACAGCTACCTGTCCAGTTGGCTGGCAGCACCTTGTAAGCCTTTCAGCCACATACAAAATAGTGACCCTGTAGGGCCCAGTAAGGACTGTTTCTTAAGGGGATTCCTGGGATATTTAAGGCTGCTTTGGCTGCTTTTCCAAATGGTTCATATGCCCCTAAGGGGGCATCCCATCTTCCTGATTGGTACAAGTGGGGGCGTTTCTAATTGTGCCGTTCAAATTACACTCGCCATAGGGACCACTATAAACCCACCATTGGCTTGCTACATTGGAGATATTAACTGGACGGCAAGTTATATTTCCAAACCCTTCCTTTGTGGTAAGATTATTCGTAAGAGTTTCCCTAAAAGGGGAGGAACCATTACACCCACACTGCTGACCTCCCCTCTTGGTCTTTATCCAATACCCATCAGCCCACTGTGTAATAACACAGGAGCTTTTTCCCACAGGACGCCCATAGTGATCAGATTGGTTTCGGGTAAAACATAACACTCCCTCAGTGAGTACTGCAACTGAATACTCCTGGTCCTGATAGGTGGCTTGCTGTAAAGAGGTCTTGTTCCAGAACGGCGAGTCCGTTCTTTCCTGCTCTTTGGTGGTGGCTAATTCTGCTAGGGTCAAGGGCAGCATGTGAAGGGGCATTCCCGTTTTGGGGGACAGTGGAGTTGGAGCATATGCCCAGCAATCAGTCTGGTTTGTTAACGTAGCAACATGATGCGCAAGCGAAACAAAGGAGTTATGCTCCCGATATGCACAGTTTGGAAATACCAATACAGAGAATAACAATGTTACCCAATTAATTATGACCAGAGTCTTCCCAACCCAGGGTCTCCAGTACCTGGGTGGGCCTATTTTAGCGTTAAGGTGCCCACTATTTGTGTCTTTTAGCCTGAGATCGTCACTAGATGAGGAGTCAGCAGGTTGGACGGTCCACTGTTCTGCTGACGAGGGGGCGGGTACTGTCTTCAGACGAGAGTGCTGGATCCAGTTCTTGTGGCCCTCGATCTTTGCCGCTGTATGGGAGATCAGCAGGACGGTATAGGGTCCTTTCCACTTTTCCCGGAGAGGCTCGTCTTTCCAGGTATGAACAAGCCCGGAGTCACCGGGCTGTAAGGAGTGGACGGGAGAGTCCAAGGGGAGAGGCTGGGAATCCTTGGTATACCTGTGAAGAGACAAGAGAACAGCAGACAGGGAACACATACTGAGACAAAAAACCACACCCTATTTCCCACTCCCCTGCCAGAACCGGTGTCCCATTCGTAGGCCATGCCCTTCCAAACATAATTTCAAAGGGACTAAGCCCTAATCTACCCTTCAGAAGAGCACGGATACGGAGCAGGACGAGGGGCAAAGCATCAGGCCATCGCAGTGAGGCTTCTTGGCACACTTTTGAGAGATGCTGTTTAAGGGTCTGATTGGTACGCTCCACTACACCACTGGCTTGCGGTCTCCAGGGCGTATGGAGTTTCCAGGGGATCTGTAAGGCATGTGAGATGCTTTGAATGATTTTTGACGTGCAGTGTGTCCCCTTGTCAGATTCCATCCACAGGGGGAGTCCAAAGCGAGGAATGATTTCCTTAACAAACTTGAGGGCCACTGTTCTGGCAGTGCAATTACGGCAGGGGAAGGCTTCTGGCCATCCTCTGAACCGATCCACTATGACAAGGAGATATTTGAGCCCTTGGGTCCGGGGAAACTCAGTAAAATCTATTTGCCACACTCGTCCGGGGCCCGGAGTGGGTTCTAGGGCAGCTGATGGCACAGGATGTCCCGGTCGGGGGTTATTCTTTTGGCAGACTAAGCAGTCCGCTTCTACCTGGGCAGACAGGGGTCGGAGTCTGGATGTGATAAAGTATTTTCCCATTAGTTGGATAAGTGCTTCCCTGCCAGCATGAGTGGTTTGATGTAGTTTCTGCAGCACCGGCCGGATCAGACCCTTTGGTAGGAGGACCTTCCCTTCCGGGGAATAGAGCCATCCCTCCTTTTCCTGGAGACCGAGTTTGTCAGTTAGCTGTCTCTTCTCCCCAGAGTACTGAGGGGTTGAAAGCTCCCCTACTGATGGGATAAGGGCATGCATATGGGCATTCTCAGTCTGAGGGGATGGCAGGGTGGCAGCATGCTTAGCCTCTCTATTTGCCCAGGCGTTACCTCTGGCCACATCTTGATCCTCCCTTTGATGGGCTTTACAATGTACCACCGCCACTTCCGAGGGGAGTTGTACGGCTTCTAGGAGCCGGAGGATTTGGGGCCCATACTTGACTGGGGAGCCTTGGGCTGTCAGCATTCCCCTTTGCTTCCATAGGCCAGAATGAGCATGCAGCACACCAAAAGCATACTTTGAATCAGTAAAAATGTTGACCCGCTTTCCTTTTGACAGTTCAAGTGCACGGGTCAGGGCTATTAGTTCAGCAAGCTGGACAGAGGTCCCAGCAGGCAAACCTTCAGCTTCCACAGTGTCATGGAGGGTCACAACAGCATAACCCGCCCTCCTTTGCCCATCTATTACAGTACTGCTACCATCAGTGTACCACTCATAATCTGCATTTGGGAGGGGTACATCCTTTAAATCCGGACGGCTGGAGTACTGGGCATCTATGATCTCTAAACAGTCATGTTCCTGGTCCTCTGTTTCTGGCAAAATGGTGGCTGGGTTAAGGGAGGGGCAAGGCTGTAAGGTGATTTCAGAGTTCTCTAACAGCTTAGCCTGATACCGAGCAATCTGAGCCTGGGTGAGCCAGAGCCCACCCTTGGTGTCTAGCAGGACTCGGACCATATGGGGAGTATAGATTTGCATATCCCCTCCCAATGTTAGCTTCTCAGCTTCCTCAAGAACTAGGGTAGTAGCTGTGACCACCTGTAAACATGCCGGCCAACCCTTTGCAACCTGATCCAGTTGCTTAGAAAAATAAGCCATGGGACGTTTCTAAGTCCCCAACAACTGGGTTAGCACTCCCAGGGCCACCCCTTTTCGTTAGAGATCCGGCAGACCCAGGGCTGGAGCTTCCATCAGCTTCCTTTTTAAGATTTTAAATGCCCTGTCAGCCTCTGGAGTCCAATAGAAGGGGTCATGATCTGCTCCTTTTACACAGTCATAACGGTTTAGCCCATAGTCCAAACTCTGGGATCCATATCCTGCAAAAGCCTGCCATACCCAGAAAAGCTCTGAGCTGTTTATGAGTGCTTGGGGTAGGGACTTGACAGATAGCTTCCTTTCTTTCGCTTGAAAACTGACGCTCCCTTTGCCTTAGCTGTAACCTGATCCCTCTCCACCTCAGACAACAGGGTTCTCAGGAGGATATTACAATTGTCCCAATCTGGCTTGTGACTACTGAGGCACCCCTCAAAGACTGAAATAAACCAGCTTGGGTTCATGAAGAATTCCCCAGCCTGTGTTTTAAAAGCTGCTAAGTCTATTGGATTGAATGGCACATGGGTGTAAACTTGCATAGTGGTAGCCTGACGTCCGTCTGCCCTGGGCGAGCCACAACAGTCTCGGTAATCAAAGGATAGAGTCCCACTGAGGGGGCAATCTCTGTAACTCGAGGCATCCTACCCTTATAAGGTGGGGGTGTGGGGGCCGAAGGGGACACCGGCTCTGCCATTACAGTGGGGGTGGGGGTCTGGGGACTAACATTAGCTGCTACCGAACCAGTCGGAGTCAGATTACAGTGCTGCAGAATTACAGCTCTGTTCTATCTCTTAAAGCCATAAACGCTTGTGCCTACAGAAGTTCATTCCATTTACCCATTCACCGGCAAAACAAAACTAATTGGAGGATCGTATTATAATTGATTGACCCTCCCGATGGCCACCGTTCCTGGTCCTCTAGCTGATATTGAGGCCAGTCTACTGTACAAAACCTTTTCAATTTGCTTTTTGTCATTGGATCTGATCCAAACACTTTCCAGTTTGCTAGAATGCATTCTAGAGGCGTACACTGTGCCTTAACCGCTGAGCTCTGTCCCTGTCCCATACCTACAGGGTAACTGTGGGCGTCCCCAGGTTCCAACAGAGCATACAATCCGGATTTCAAAAGGTTCCTACCTTATCCAAGGGACCGGTTCCTCACCATCACCCGCAACTACTCCTCCCCTATGTCCAAGGGACCGGTTCCTCACCGTCGCCCACAGCTGCTTCTCCACTATATGAGTGCGTTGGACCATTGTGCCCTCCGGGATCGATCAAATCGCGTCTCCTCCGAGGCCCCCGATGAACTCACCGGTGCGTGCTGGGCGTCGGTTCTCGCCGCAATCCTTGACCTCCAGGAGGGGTCCGGGCAAAGCTAAATAGCGGCCTCGTCGCCCACCCAAGCACGCCAAAAGCTGTTGCCGGCACCCAATGCCAGAGGCAAGCAACAGCGGGGGGGGGGGGTCACTGCCCTGTGTGCGTCACCCAATAATCACAACGGGGTGGAGAAGCAGAAAAGTTTATTTGCAGCTGCAAAGAAGGTACAGGGAGAATAGAATCTCAAATCCTGCACATAAAGCAGGAAGTTACTCAGGCTTTTATACATCCTTTCTTCAGCATACTTATCCAATAGCAAGCTGCCCTAAGTATCCATATAGCCAGCCAATCCAGTTCCCAGCTAGTTCCCTTGTTCTCTGTACCATCTGTTAAACCATACATAAGGCTGCTTTATTCAGCATTGTTCTTCCATATCTGCCTTGTTTGGCCTTGTTTAGTTTCAGGCAGTCTGCCTCTGCAACATATTGTTGCAGATTCTCAGCATAACTGCTGCGAGTGCCTCCAGGCGGGGGGGCGGGGCAAGGATACTTGGGCCTAGTGCGAGGGGGCTTCATCGACACTCGTGGTCTTCCATCCCCTCGAGTTACCTAGTGGCCATGCCCAGTGTCCCCAACACTCCTGCTGTCTGGCTGCTTTCCCCGCCACATCTACAAACAAAGGGAAAGGGAGCTTCAAACTTCCCAGGGCTTACAGGGGGAGGGCGGACGTCCGTGCGTCAGAGCAGCAGAGATGCTGGCCAGAGTGGTCGCTTTTGGAACTGTGGGATATCCTCCGGAGGCCAAAAGGTGTTTACACTGCTAGAATGTGTCTTCACTTTCACAGCCGTGCAAAAAGAACAGCGGGCAGAGCTGTATGCTTCTCGTGAAGGTGGGATTTTTTTTTGCGGAAAACCTGAGTTTCACTGCAAAAAGTCATTAACAAATGTAGACAGTCTGGCGGTTTTAACGCAAAAAAGGGACTTTTTGCCCTTTAAATAGTAAGTGTAGACATACCCCAACCCTTTTTGTCCTGTGACTGGAGAGGTGTTAACTGCCCACTTCACCTTGAATAGCCTCTTGCAACGTGTTAAGGCCTTATCTGTTCCACATTTGTATGCAGCTGTGACATGCCGAGTACCTGTCCCCGATCTCAAGAAGACCTCTGTGTAAATTCAAAAGCTTGTCTCTTTCACCAGCATAAGCTGGACCAATAAACGATATTACCTCACCTACCTTGTCTCTCTAATATCCTGGGGAAAAACACAGCTAAAACAACACTGCAAACATCGTATACCTCGCGTAGACCTGCTGCACTGTAGGGAACTTCATCAGGAATAACCCCCTTAAGTCCTCACTGACATCAGTGGAGTTCAGTTCAGGGTGGGCTGGACATGCTCTGCCCATCTCGCAGTGCAGCTCCTTTAGCTCACTTTACCCCAGGCAGATCCAGGTCCATCCAGACCGCGCCTTATGAGTCAGCGAATACCTGGCGCTGCAATCATTACTTAGAAACTGGCCCTTCCGCACACCAGGGGTCTCACTGTAGGTAATAGAACTGCTCGAATAATTCAGGGCTCCCACGTGCGCTGTGGTTTGCTATATTACACCCCTTGATGAGCTCCCATTATATCCATTTTATTGCAACTTACAATAAATGTTGAGAAGAAAGTTTGTGATTGGTTATAAAAGCCATAGTCTTACTTAGAGCTTTTCTCAGGGCCTCCTTGACCTCCTTGTTTCTCAGGCTGTAGATGAGGGGATTGACCACGGGAGTCAGGATGGTGTAGAAGACGGAGAACACTTTGTTCAGGTCTCGCAGTGCAGCAGTGTCTGGGAGCATGTAAACAACAAACAGGGTTCCATAGAAAATTGTCACCACGATGAGGTGAGAGGAGCAGGTGGAAAAAGCCTTTTGCCTCCCAGCGCTGGAAGAGATTCTCAGGACAGTGCTGATGATAGCCACGTAAGATGCCAGGGTTAATAGAAATGGGGGAAGAATGAATATGAAGCAGACAAGGAAAATCACAAGAACCATCAAACTGGTGTCACTGCAGGACAGTTTTATCAATGGGGTGTAATCACAAAGGAAATGGTCAATTTCATTGGGGCCACAGAAAATCAATTGTGATAGCCAACATGCTGTGATGGTGTTGACTACAGACCCACTTAGCCAAGACCCAGCTGCTAGCTGGAAGGAAAATCTACTATTCATGCGGGCTGCATAATGCAGTGGTTTGCATATGGCTAAATACCGATCGTAAGACATCACTGATAAGAGACAACATTCTGCAGCTAACAGAGAACCAAAGATATCAAATTGTACCTGTTGTACCTCCCCCTCTTCCTACCACTGAACTCTCACACCATAAAACAGAAGGTTTATTGAAACAGAACAATCACAAAATTTGGTACAACCAGACCCCTCAATCACCCTTCTGGGAGAGGAGCTTAACACCTTTCTTTCCCTCCCCACCTCCCAAACTCCAACTAAACCCACCCACATTTCTCCTCTTTCACATTCTCATCACCCCCCTCCCCCTCTCTATAACTCTCATCTCCATCCCCAGGCACATTCCCACAACACTCCCCCTCCCTCTACAATCCACACTCCCCCCTCATATTATATTTGCCCCTCCACATCCCTATATTACTCCCTTCACTCATTCTATCTCAAACTCCATCTCAATTTTCTTCATCTTCAATATTACTAATCAAGAATATTAGTTTTGAGACAACACCCCTCCACTTTCTAAATTCCATCCCTTCCTACCCCCCCTAAAATTTCAAATTAAATGGATAATCTTCAAAACCATCTTAAACTTCTCCATAAATGTTGTAAATGAGAAATCTTCTATACTACCCAATAAATATTTGGATCTTACACCTCCACCTTCTTCCCCCCCGATCATAACACTCCCCACCCCACCTTCACTCTCCTTATCACCACCCCTGTCACACTTGCTAACTTCCCATAAAAAAACACAATATCAAAACCCACCCCCTCAAAACAAACATCAAACAAAGAATAATAAAAATAAATCTTTTCCAAATAACTACACCACCAACCCAAAATCCCCCTCTTCAAATTACTCATCAATTATCCCCACCATCCTAAGTTTTTCAGAATCCAGAATAATATAAACCCCCTCCACCCACACCACATCCCCTCAAATACCACCCCACCCCCCCTACCCAACATCAAACCACCCACCACCAAACACCCCCCCCCCCCCCACCCCCCCCTCCAAAAATAAAAAACCCAAATCAATCTATAATTTACCCCAAAGACCCCACTCCCAACCAAAACAAACACCACCAAACAAAACCACAATATCACCAAACACCCCCACCCAACAAACCCTACCCCATAAACAACCCACACAACACACCAACCCCCATCCAATTAACAACACCACCCCCCCCACACCAAAATTCAACCATCCCCCTACCCCCCCCCAACCCCTTCAACCCCACACCCCCAAAACCCCCCCTACCCCCCCCCCCCTCCTCCCCCCCCTCTCCCCCCCCCCCCCCCCCCCCCCCCCCTTGTACCAGGCAGCCACGAACAGAAATGGATCTGTCCCCAGTCAGGAGACTGGCCAGCATCCTGGGCAGGATGGTGGAGGTGTAGCAGGTCTCCAAGCAGGACAAGTTCCCCAGGAAGAAGTACATGGGGGTGTGAAGGTGCTGATCGGACACAACTAGTGCAACAACGAGGATGTTCCCAGCCACTGTCACAATGTAGATCAGTAGAAACAGCAGGAAGAGAAGAATTTTCAGTTCATGGAGATTCCCAAAGTCCAGGAGGATAAATCCTGTGACGGACGTTTGATTTCTCTCCTTTGTGTCTGCCATGGATTCTAGCAAGAAAAGTAATTTTTAAAAAGTAGTAATAATAGCTTGTGAAATATGACATGAAACAGATACCTTTGTGGGGAGGGGGTTACTTTGTTTTTGTTAAAAGAAGAGGCGTACTTGTGGCACCTTAGAGACTAACAAATTTATTTGAGCATAAGCTCACCGAGAAGGCCTCAGCTGGAGGACTAGGTTCAGTTTTGGCAATCACACAATAAGAAATATGTGGACAAATTGGAGAGAATCTAGAAGTGCGCAACAAAATGATAAAAGGTTTAGAAAACCCGACCTATGAAGCAAGGTGGAAAGAACTGGGCATATTTAGTCTAGAGAAGAAAAAACGGAGGGGGAACCTGATGAGCCTTCAAACATGTAAGAGGTTGTTACAAAGAGGACAGGGATCACTTGTTCTTTATGTCCACTGAGGGTCTCACAAGAAGCAATCAGCTTTATCTGCAGCAAGGGAGATTTAGTTTAGACAGTAGAAAAACTTTCTAACTCTAAGGATAGGGAAGCCCCAGAACAGGTTACAAGGCAGGTTGTGGAATCCCCATTATTTGACTTTTTTAAAAGCAGCTTAGACAAACACCTGTCAGAGATGGTCTAGATGGTCAGCACAGGAGGCTGGACTTGGTGTCCTCTCAAGATCCTTTCCAGCCCTTCAGTTCTATGATTCATTATTCTACCTCCTTCTCACACACATATCTGCATTTTTTACTGATACCTGAGTTAGTGATGAATTTGTATGTGAATTTTGAATTAAGCAGTACAATAGTAGTTGTTTGTTTGTTATTCTATGTCTTTGTTTAGGGAGTTTTAACAGAATGACTAGCCATGCAAATATCAGATACAATACAATATTCATTTTAATACTTGCCTATTTCTTCTTCATATCCACAAGACATTGCATTTTTTGCCGTCATATTGAACTGTAAACTCATGTGTTTTAGGGTTTCTTTTATCTTCTGTAACTTAGAAATCACTCTGATGGCAAATGAATGAAGTTAGATAGATAGGTAGATAGATAGATGAAGGAGAGACAGAGACACTGCCAGATAGACAGGCAGAAATAAAGCTAGACTGTGGAGGGAAGGCTAGATAGCGACAGATGGGCAGACAGAGAGTTAGCTAGCTAGATACCTCATTGAAGATTTCCTATTTTAAGGTTTGTTCCTCCTACTGAATATGTGGCTTTTGTGCAGTGAATGACTGGGGAGGCAGAAATTCTCATAAATCCTCACAAATTCCTGCCATCTAGCTCTGGCTAGGGCTGACTCTGAGTAAACCCAGGGTGTTCTACATACGTCTAAAACTGTCTGTTCAGGGTGTGTCTCACAGAAACACAGGATCTCTGTTACACATTATTCATGACAATATACATCATCCTTTACCTTCTGTGAATCTTGTGAGAAAGGTTGTGCTTCCTCAAAAACAGGTATAATAAAAGCTGGAGTCTCTGAAGTTACCTCTTCATGCAGCCTTTCAGAGATCCAGGATCCAGAGTCTATCACCATCTTCTTCATGGACCACAGTCAAAAGACCTAAGAGTTCTACAGAGGATCCCCTGTTCTATTCTCCTGCTTGTCACAGCTGGCTTTTATCTGATCCCAAAAAGTGAATGCCTTCTCTGATTTGTTATATGAGAGTGAAACAACTCCCTGGAAACTTATGCTAATGGGAATTTACAATTGCCGCAAAGGCAGCGTTAATGCTCCATTTTATTTTTAGAACTTACAAACAAGTTTAATACATGAACTCCTAACCTCAGAGAGAAAGTTGTGGAAATAGGACAACTTCTAGCTTCAAAGGAATAGTTATGGAGATAGGAAAATGTCTAACATCAAAGGAGGTGTTTCTCTTTACCAATTCTAAGGGACATAGGAATTGCCATTCTGGAGGAGGCCAGTCATCCACCTTGTCCACTCTCCTGTCTCTGAATTAGCTAGTACCAACTGCTTTAGAAGAGGGTTCATAGATTCAACCATCTTAGGAGAGCAGGGACATTGAATCACCTTCCCTGTACATAGCAGGACATTACATTTCACCCAGTTACCCCTGTATTTAGCCCAATAACATGTGTTTGGTTAAAGCAACTTTCAGAAAAGCATCTGGTCTTTATGTGAAGATATCAAGAGATGGAGAATTCACCACTTCTCTTGGTAGCTTGTTCCAATGGTTAATCGACTTCTCCAGAAGTGTGACTCCCTGGCTGGCGTGCCTCCTCATGGTTGGGCATGGCATAGTTTTAGTTGGGGATTGGTCCTGCGTTGAGCAGGGGGTTGGACTAGATGACCTCCTGAGGTCCCTTCCAACCCTGATATTCTATGATTCTATGATTCATAGCAAGGTCATCTTCTTCTTCGGCACTCCTTGCTGACTGTCACTCTGGCTGTGCTGTGATCTACTTCTCGTAACTCAGCCGTCCAGCCAAGTCACATATATTCCCATCCAATCTGAGGTAAACCCAGTCTAGCTCCTCAGTAGTCCAGTGGCTTCATGCCAGGTCTTCAGGCTGACTTCAGGCTTTATTGGCCTTCCAGCTCATCTCTGGGGGGCCTTTGTGCCACCATCCTCGGGGGGCTGGGAGGGGAACCCAGGCTTACTATCTACTCTGGGTACCCTGTAGTAAGCAGTTCAGCTCTGTCTATTCACACCCTTTGCCTCCTCCTGGGCTACTTTCTAACTCAGCCTGTCATAGAATCATAGAATATTAGGGTTGGAAGAGACCTCAGGAGGTCATCTAGTCCAATCCCCTGCTCAAAGCAGGACCAACACCAACTAAATCTTCCCAGCCAGGGCTTTGTCAAACCGGGCCTTAAAAGCCTCTAAGAATGGAGATTCCACCACGTCCCGAGGTAACCCATTCCAGTGCTTCACCACCCTCCTAATGAAATAGTGTTTCCTAATATCCAACCTAGACCTCCCCCACTGCAACTCGAGACCACTGCTTCTTGTTCTGCCATCTGCCACCACTGAGAACAGCCTAGCTCCATCCTCTTTGGAACCCCCCTTCAGGTAGTTGAAGGCTGCTATCAAATCCCCCCTCACTCTTCTCTTCTGCAGACTAAATAACCCCAGTTCCCTCAGCCTCTCCTTGTAAGTCATGTGCCCCAGCCCCCTAATCATTTCTGTTGAGCTCTGCTGGACTCTCTCCAATTTGTCCACATCCCTTCTGTAGTGGGGGGACCAAAACTGGACACAATACTCAAGGTGTGGCCTCACCAGTGCTGAAAAGAGGGGAATAATCACTTCCCTCAATCGGCTGGCAATACTTCTACTAATACAGCCCAATATGCCGTTGGCCTTCCAGGGCAACAAGGGCACACTGCTGACTTATATCTAGTTTCTTGTCCACTGCAATCCCCAGGTCCTTTCCTGCAGGGAAACTCAAGAGGGCTCACCTGGGATTTGAACCCAGGACCTCTTGCACCCAGAGCGAGTGAGACTCATACCCCTTGACCAACGAGCCTGGCCCTTAGCCTTTCTCACAGCTCCTTCTCAGGCTCCCTCCTCCACAGATCCCAGAGGGAAAGAGGATTCGTTATGGTGAACAAAGCAAATGTACAGGTCCAAGGTGGGGTCTATCTGCCCCAAAGAGGATCTGGCACCTAGCAGGCTCAGGACAGCGTCTGGCCCCAGACCAGCCTTCCTCCACGCAATCTATAGGTTTTTTCTGACCCCAGCCAGGCCTTCCTTCAAGGTGCTAGCAGAAGAAGTTCCTTCTCCTGCTCAGCCCTTACTGCTTATTGGGCTTTTCCTTTTTCAACTGCTCCCTCCAGGCTTTGACCCCTCTCATAGGTGTAACAAGGTAGGGCTAACTGAGCACCTGGGCCCTCATTAGCTTCTTTCCAGCCACTGTGGGGTCACTGTACCCCTTCAAACCCTCACTGTTAGACATTTGTGCCCTATTTCTAATTTGCATTTATCTGGCTTCAGCTTCCAGCCATTGGTTCTTATCCTGCTAATTTGAAAGTGCCCTTTAGTACCAGGTACTTTCTCCCCATGAAGGAACATATAGGTTTTAATCAAGTCACCTCTCAGTCTTCTTTTTGATAAGACTGAGAGGTGGAACACCATGACCCCATGAAAAGTCCCCACGTATCCTAATCAGTTAGCAGTTGGCTGAATACGGGATAAGTGATCTGGTAAATCTGAAGCAATAAATAATTTATCACTACAAGCAGTAACGTCCTGGAGTCGTAACCCTCCTTTCCTTGTTTACCCAAATTTCCCATTGATCCTTGCGGGTAAGGAAATGGGCACTATAGTTTGGTACGCAATGTTGCACCCAAAATCTTACTCACATAATGGGCTGAGCAGAGAAGCTGATGATCTCTGAATCAGATTCCCCTTTCTTCTCTCGAGTGACCTTGATAATAACTTGCACATCACCCCCATCAGTGGGATAAATACATTAAAATATAATGATTAGTGCTGGTCAAAAATTATCTTATGGAACAATTTTCCACTGGAACATACTGTTTTGACAGAATAGGAACTTTTCATGGGAGTGTGTTGAATCCATTGAAACTTTTAGTGGAAACCAGGCAGGCTCCTGGTTGACTTTCAGCTTGACTGCTGCCTGATTCCTTGGCTGCCCAGATACCTATGCTGTCTGGCTTTCCAGCTGTCCAGCAGGAAATGTAAATTTTGATGAAATCACATTTTTCAAGGGAAAAATCTCTCAAGTGAAAAATCCCAAACAGCCCTTGAAAGAAGTTAAGGGAAAAACTAAAGGCAGATTTCCTCGAGCAACCTTAACTCTGCTCTGCTGGGAATGCCAGTCTTCTGTCTCCACCATGGATCAAACTAAGCCCCTCCCTGCACACAACTCTACTACATCAATATCGACAAATTATGTGGATAGGATAGGAAAGGGTAGTTTGGTAAAGGGATGTATAAATAGTGTGGCCACCTCTGGAGTGCCACGTCGTGACTTGGGATGACTCTGCAGTGCCTGGCCTCCATTTCCTTCCTTGTTGCTCCTCAATAACTCCACAAAGGCTCATGTGTCCCTTCTTGTGGTCTGGCTTATTAACATATGTCAGGCTTCCTTCCCCACTCTGAACTCTGGGGTACAGATGTGGGGACCTGCATGAAAGACCCCCAAAGCTTATTTTTACCAGCTGAGGTTAAAACTTGCCCAAGGCACAGATTTCCTTCTGCCCTGGTTTCGCTGCCACCACCAAGTGATTTAACAAACAATTAGGGAAAGGACCACTTGGAGTCCTATTCCCCCAAAATATTCCCCCAAGCCTATACACCCCCTTTCCTGGGGAGGCTTGAGAATAATATCCTAACCAATTGGTTACAAAATGATCAAAGACCCAAACCCCT